TCGATCGGACTTATATATATATATGGACATGCCATAGCTGTATAGAACTCATGACTTAGATATCTGAAAATATGTTATATGGAATGATCATCTTTGATTTTAATGTTCCATATGCATACTTGATTTATATGTTGAAGAGGCGTAAAAGGCTAAGAGATTTGTTTGTTTGTTTGTTATAGGAATATAGAACGTTACTCAAATGATTTTTAGTTATTCATTAAGATCTATGATAACACTTAATAAATCTTATAATATTTTATTGCAATAGTTCTTAACTAATTCGATTTGTATCCAATTTTATCCAAAGGGTAAACATTACAAGTAAGGGCTTGACTGGTTTAAACGTAGCGGTTGCGGTTGTGGGAGTTTGCGGAAACGGACGGTTGCGGTTTCAAGCATTATTTAGCATTTTGACCGACTGGTTTAGCGGTTAAAAACGAATACGTTTGCGGGAGATTTACGACTGGTTGATCAGCGGGTACAGTAGCGGTTAAACCAAAATTTACCAAAATAAATTTAGTATATGATTATAAAAAGTATAAAAACACCAAAAACTATAATTATGAAAAAATATAAAAAATTTAAACATGATTAATGATTAAAAACCATAAATAATTATTCAAATAAATTTTATATTGAAAACAAAAATAATTATTAATATTGGAAAATTAAAGTTAGATAATTTTTTTTTTAGAATTAAAGTGAATATACATAAGACTTGATAATATATATTTAAATTTGTTCATTTTTCTTTTTTAGTTTCTTTCCTTTTTTAAACCAACCGCAACCGTCCGCAACCGCAAACGCTTGCGGAAAGGAGCTTTTAAAATCCAGCGATTTCGAACTGTTCGAAGTGGTATGGAACAGTTTCTATGGTTGGTACCAACCGCTAACAACCGCAACCAACCGCTAACAACCGCTAGGCGGGAGAACCAATCAAGCCCTAAATTGAAGTCCAACAATCCTATTCTAAAACATTAAGCCCATATGTTAGAGCCCAAGAACAAATGAGACAATATTAATAAAAGCAGAAGGGATGATTATTGGCCAAAAAATCTGATGTGTATTAATCCAAATATTTTTATTAGATGATGATTTTAATAAGGGAAATTGTTAAAAATACCCCTTTTGGTGTGCCCCTTTTCAAAAATGCCCCTTTTAGATGTCCATTTTAAAAAATGCCCCTTTTTAAATCTGAAATTTTTATAAAGTTTTATTAGGTTTATAAGGTACTTATGGATTGTAACTACTACTTGAAGACTCGATCCAAATATTTATAAGATTTTATAAGGTGTTTTTAAAGGTTTTACAAGTTATTTTAATGGATTTTTAAGGTTTTTCAAAGGTTTTACAAGATATTTTAAAGGTTTTTAAAGGTATTTAAAATGCATTTATAAGGTATTTATAAAGTATTTATAAGATTTTAGATACATATAAATGTAGTTTGTGTATGTTTTAATAATATTACATACATATTTGGGTAAATCTATTTTTAAGAGCATTTTTTATAAGGTTTTTAAAAAAGAGTATTTTTGAAAAGTGCCATTGAAAAAGTGGCATTTTTGCAAAAGCCCCTTTTAATAATGTGTCATGTCCAGAATACTCCAAAAAGCTGAGGTGTCAGCACTGGAGAGAAACCTAGTGTTTATAATTTAATGTTTTATCTTTACTTAAATTGTAAAAAAATTTACTTCTAGGGATTAGTTTTTTATTTATGTAATTAGACTTTGTAATTATAATTATAGTCTCTATTGCCAACGTTAATATCTAATGAAAAGATGATGTTTCAAAAGTAAAATTCTAGTATATTTTTCAGTTAATAATTTATTTTCGTAGCAAAAGTATTTTTTGAAATTTTTATTTAGTGATTTGATATAATTAAATAAAATTTTAGAACTTGATTGTTTACTTTTATACTATTCGGAACCAATTATTACAAAAAGTATAATTACCATGTGCACTCTAAATATAGTAAATTTTATAAATATTAAATTTTACTAATTATTTTATATCTTTTGCAACTTTAAAGAATTAATAATTAGAATTTTCAAAGATTGTATTAGTTAGAGATGCTGAATTAATTACCATGTTCAGTTTTGTTTAGTACTTATATTTTGATTATGTATCAATTTTAATGATGTGTTAGTTTGAGAATAGCTTGAAAAGCTAATGTGTAAACACCATTAAAAAACTTTTAATACTATCTTTTTTGTAAATATAATAATTTTATAATTTAAATTTTATATTATCACATATTCTTGACATATTATATTTACAAAAATATATAAAATATTTAATTCTATATATGATATATTAATTTTTTATATATATGTAGCGCGGGCCAATCTGTCAATCTTCGGGCATAACTTTCTAAAATCCGTAATCCGTGTAGGATTGCCCGCAAGATCCTTTTTTAACGGATTTAATATTTTGTGTTCATAATCGGACCGGACTGGGTTAAGCCCATGAGTTTAGGCCCATTTTGATATTTCTATATAAGAGAATAATGTGGAAAAATGAAAGGTTCTTATTGGATATGAAAAATGAGTTGTATTATTTAGAATGTTTTCATTGGTCATTCATTTTAACTGAGGTGTCAACACCACAATGCTTAAAAAAGCTGAGGTGTCAACCTCTGGAGAGATTCAAGAGTTATTATTGTATTGATTTTGAGAAAAAATGAGGGTAAAGTTGGGTTTTGATTTTTAAAAAACCTATTTGACCAATCTACGAAAAAATGATATATGGACAAATTTTTAAGTAGATATCTTTTTTTCCAATTTTTCCTTATTTTTTTTCTATTGGTTTCATTAACGTGCTCTCTTGTCTAAATATATGGAACGGCGCAGAAAGTTAGGATTGAAATACCTAATGGCGCAAGAAAAGCTTCCGTGGGAGTTAGAGGAAGAGATACTTTTTCGTGTTCCACCTTTACCTCTCACTCGCTTGAGAACCGTTTGCAAACGATGGGACACACTTTTCAACGAAAAAAGATTCATTAAAAACCACTTGGCTCGTGCCCATCCTCAATTCATCTTAGCGAGCAAATCCAAGTTTTGTTCCGTAAGCGTCAGTCTTGATGACGATCCAAAGATAGAAGTGCGCGAGTTAAACTTAGATATTCCCGGTCTAGAATCTAAGAGACCGAAAAACATCCATCATCACGATGGCTTACTGCTTTGTTCTTGGGAGGACAATAGAGTCTATGTTTGGAATCCGTTGTTGAGAGAGAGTAGATGGATCGAGCCGGATTCAAAACAAAGTATGGGAATCGAGGGTATAGTGTACGACAATATAGGTGTCGAATATAGTAGTTTTAAGATCTTTGAGTCTCAATTTATTCCCAAATTTAAGTGGAGTTTCTGCAACTTTGTATCCAATAATGCTTGGAAAGACTACGACCATAGGTTTATGGGGATAATTCATCTTTTTGGTGCTAGTGTATTCTTGAATGGAACTTTGTATTGGGTTGTTTCTTCTTCTGAATACCTTGACAAGATGTTCATTATAAGTTTAGATTGTTCGACTGAGAGATCGAGGGTCTTTTGTTGCCTACCATGTAAGAGAAAATCGTCTACAAATGCTCCTGTTCTTGCGGTTTTTAGGGGAGATCGGTTTTCGTTGTTAGAGGAATGCAATGAAACAAAGAAGATTGAGATTTGGGTTACCAAGAACAAGATTAATAATGGGGATGCGGAAAGTGTGGATTGGATAATATTCATGACTGTATCAATTTCTAACTTCCCTGATTTAGTGGGCATAAGATCCTACTCTCCGCCAAGTTACTTCATTGAGTACAAAACGCTCGTCATGTGTTCTTGTGACGAAAATGGACAGGCTTGGATTTATGTTGTGAGGGGAAATAAGTTGAGTAAATCTCGAATAGAGGTTGGCCCTTGGCCTTTGCATATTACCTATATTCCCAGTTTGGTCCCAGTTCCACAAGGTCAAAGAGAAGAAGTAGGATTACAAGTTTAGTTAACATTTGGCTTCTTTTTTAGTTGTTGGGGAAAGCTAAGATGGATTTGACTTTTGGTTGCAACCATTTACCCTCTTATCTTCTTTGTTTCCCTTATGTTGTTACATTTTGCGTTTTTTGTTTTCTTTATTCAGAATTTCTTTATAGCAAACATGATCCACTATTGCACTATTTCACATGTCTTGACTTTGAGCCGGACTTAACATTGTTTAGAAGAATTTTTACCTTTTCATCAAACTTAGCTTTCAGAAAACGGGCAAACGTAAAAATATAAATTTTTTACCTTTTCATTTAAATATAGTTATTAAAAATGATTAAAATCATCTTAGATAGTCAAATTATTTTTTTCACGTTAATTAGTCAATTATCTTAGGTAGAAATATTTTTCATGTTGATTTTCATAAAAAAAAATAATGCTCTTCTGTAGAAACAACCACCTCTTCTATAGAAGCAATAGTGTAGATAATTCCCAAGATCAAATCTATCCTCTTTAAGCTTCTAAGACAAGAATTCCAACTGAAGCTATTCAACAACAACTATGAGAATGAAGTTATCAACACACGCATCTTCCCAATCAACACAAGAGAAAACGATGGGAGATTTGGGTACAAAAGGTGATTGAGGGCAAACTAAAAGCTATGTGGATATGGAGAAGAAATTTTTCGAGATTAATTAATGTAAGAAACCATTCCCCAATTTTTAATTAGAAGTGACCAATGTTGCCAATATAGAATCTTATATTAAAGCTCCAAAACTCTTTTTTTTTTTTTTTGCTTGGGGGAGAATATTACATGTGTTACTAGAAAGGAATCTAAATGGACCGATGAGTTAACGTAACGTCTGATGTGTCATAAGAAAATCCTACGTGTGAGACAAAATGTAATATCTATTGTGCCAAACACACGGCAACATGAGCAATTCGCAAACTCCACAGAGGCTGTCCTGACCACAGAGTGCGTTTCCCACTTGTTCTACCTTTAGCTGCCACCTATAAAAGGCTCATTAGTCTCTCTTATTATATTCACCAAACTCACATCAACACCAAAAGCTCATCACACTTCTTGTGGCTCCGTGGATCTTTCTTCAGGTCGCTTCATAACCAACAACAAAAAAATGATGTCTTTCGTCGCTAACTTGGTCATCAAGAGTTTGGACCGTGCTTCCGCGGTGTATGCTGAAGATGTGGTGGATAGTTCTCGAGCGGCATATGTTGAGAATGGTGGTGATGATGATGACAGTGGCTACGATTATGCTCCTGCTGCATGATTCTCTCATCTTAGTTTATAATTGTAATTAGGAGAGAAAAAGAGTGAGAGAGATGATAGTAATTTAGATATCTGGCTAGGCATGTATGTGCTAGAAGATAGTGTGGTCAGTCATCTTATAGATAACAAACATAGTTTCCTTATTTGTAGTAGTAAAATCTTCTTTTCCTTAACCAAATTCACTTTTTGGCTCTTAAGTTTGGAAATTGATTTAACGTTCATTATACTATATAACATTTTTAGTTTCCTGAATTCTTACTTGTGTCGATGTTTTTTTTCATAAATTTTGTGTTATGTATTGTGGTTTAGTATTCACTTTATTCATTCATCCAACATTGAATTTTTATATGGAAGAAAGCGGAATCTAAAGTTTAAACCAATAGGTTTATATATCTTTCAAATTGTAAACCTTTCATGCTTCCCTTTTACAATTTGAAATTAGACGAAAGGGAAGCCACACATGTATTTAGTTAATTAATTTGTCTAATTATTTGTTATCTTGGTTCACCAATTTCTTTAACTTTTTGGCCACGACCAGAATAGTCTGTCACTTAGGTGTTGGTATTTTTTGATGTGATAAATCGAACTCAAATGTTCCAGGATTAGTCCTGTGGCCCTTTCTAGATAGGGTTGAGGATTGTGGCATGTAGGCTTTTCATATGGTAAGCAAACATTTCCATATCGATCATATTATGGAAGTAATATATGCTGTCATAATTGGAGGTCCCAACGCATGTGACTTACCGTTCATACTTAATTGTTTAAACCCATTTGTGGAAAAGTTAGAACAAATCTTATAGTTCTCATAAGAAATGCCTTAAAATGTTTTAATGTTGCTGATGCATTAAAAGGATGATAAATGCTCGGTATGCCATCTTATATGTGTTATTTTAGTCTTTGATAAATACAATCTTTTTAATCTATCCGCAATGAAAAAAATAAAATACATAGATTTATTTTGTGGCTAATTTTGTTTTGCCTGGAGTTTATCAACAACTTTTACATGGCAGAACTTATAATTTGTGACACAGCCTACAGTCATTCCAGCATGACAGTCTTTAGAGAGATCGATATGCAAGTCCGAAACTCGATCAGTGCAAGACGACACAAATCGCAAATTCGCAACACTAATGCAACTTTGTATACTCTGCCCGCAAGGTGGTGGGCTAGTGGTAGGGCGAGTCTGGAGTTGAGGGTGAAATCCCCGAACCCAGGTTCGATCTTCCTCCCTCGCTGTTATCAACACTTTGTGGGAAGTCTGGGCTTGGGCTTCGGCCCAGGCAGTTTACCTGGTAGTCTGGTAACAGGCGATCCAGCTACCCCCGGGCATTAGTCGGAAAGCATTCCAAACTTGGGTTAGGCAGTGTGGTAGCCCATCCTTCGGGGTGGTAGTGAGTCCACATGGTAGCACTTCGGTGCGTTCCCCCAGGGCTGACCGGATCAGCCGATCGGGTATATCAAAAAAAAAAAAAAAAAAAAAAACTTTGTATACTCTAAGAATCTCATAATTCTTTTGTTTAAGCTGCCTATTTTTTTATTATTATTATTATTTGTTTTTTTGGCAAGATAGCAAAGTCTAGGTCTAACTTCTTGTGAGCCTTAGCTAGTTATTATAAAAATTATAATTTGTTAACAGGCTAGGTCAAAATTAATTAAGGTACATGTTAGTTATTAAAAGTCTTGTAAGGAAAAGGCATAGTCTTTAAGACCAATTTTGCCATTAGAATCTTATATTAAAGCTCTTTTTCCTCCTTTTTTTGTGTTGTTGTTGTGAGGTTGGGGAAGAATGTTACTGAAAAAGGAAAATGCTTTACATGTGTTCCCTGAAAGGAATATAAATGGACCGATGAGTTAGCTTAACTTCTGATGTGTCATAAGAAAAATCCTACGTGGGAGAAAAAGTGTATAATCTATTGTGCCAAACACACAGAAACACGAGCAATTCGCAAACTCCACAAGGCAGTCATGACCACAGAGTGCGTTTAACACTTCCTCTACCTTTAACTTCCACCTATAAAAAGCTCATCAGTCTCTCTTATTATATTCACCAAACTCACATCAACACCAAAAGCTCATCACACTTCTTGTGGCTCCGTGGATCTTTCTTCAGGCCTTTTCATAACCAACAAAAAAAAAAAATGATGTCTTTCGTTGCTAATTTGGTCATCAAGAGTTTTGACCGTGCTTCCGCGGTGTATGTTAAAGATGTGGTGGATAGCTCTCGAGCGACATGTGTTGAGAGTGGTGGTGACGACGATGACAGTGGCTATGATTATGCTCCTGCTGCGTAATTTCGATATTAGCTTAGACCATTTATGTACTAGATAGTGTGTTGAGTCGTCTTCTTGTAGATGAGCAAACATGGTCTCCTAAACTGCAATCACTTTTTGTCTCTTAATTTTGGAAGTTATTAGTGTAACGTAGATTTTACTAAATAACATTTTTAGTTTCCTATTTTTACTTGTGTCGATATTTTTCATAGATTTTGTGTTTTGTGGTTTAGTATTCACTTTCTTCACTCACACAAGATTAAAATTTTCAATCGATGAAATCCGGATCTAAAGTTTAAACCAACTGGTTTATCATTCAAGATGTGAAACTTTTACAATTTGAAAGTATACTAAAGGGGAGCCACACATGTATTTAATTAGTTTACCAATTTCTCTAAATTTTTTTTTTTAATCTTCTATTGTTCATGAATTTCTAATTAATCGTTATTATAGCTCATCTTATCTATCCATCCATCCATAGCGACACACCCAAACTAGTTTGTAATAATTAGGTGTTTGTATTGTTTGATGTGTGGTAGGAGTGAGAAATGTGGCATGTTCTCAGCTGAAATTTTACTTCATCGAAACACCATAAGCCTCTGCACTGTTACTCCACAAAATCAATACATGTAGATAAATATTTTGGCGTTTTGGATGACTAAGCAAATATTTATTTATCAAGCATACACTACAAGAAAATGGAGTATCTGTAGCGCCCGAATAACGTTATATAACTCTACTGTAGCGTTTTAACAAGCGCTCTATCATCGCCCGTCATAATAGGTCGGAGACAAAATATAGCGGTTTTTTGTTATGCTACCAAAAATTTAGTTATTATAGCGCTTTCTTTGATGCAATATTTAATAATATAATAGTGCCTACTTTTCGATATAAATAATTATTATTCACAGCACATTTATTTTTTTAATAAATAACGATTTAAATTTCAAATTTAGCATTTTGAATTTTAATAATTAATTCATAATAAATAGAAAACCAAATCTTTTTATTGATATAAAATTTTAACATAAAAATTCAATGACACAAGAACAAAAACTATCTCAAGTGGAAAACAAAATACAAGGCAAGCAAGATTGAATTTTTCTTATGCCTCTATTACAAATGAGATAACAAAAAAATCATGGTTGCTATGGCCACACTTCTTCTTCTTTGCAGTTCACAGCCCTTCGATGAAGACGAGCATAACACCTAACAGAAGATGTTAAGTTACATAAAAACACAAAACATTGTGATTCCATTAACTTTACATATCCTAAAGAACCAATTTACAAATCAAATCAAGATTCTATGATTTCAAGCTAAGTCACTCCTAACAAAGCAAATTATGATTACAAGTGACAATACCAGAAAGTCTAGGAGGCATGGTAACGACGGAGGCAGTGGTTAATCCACAGAGGCGAAGAAGCAACCGGAATAGAAGATTTTACGAAACTGCTTATGGAAAAGTCTAAAACCACCAGTTAGCAACTTGTTAAAACACTAACACACAAGTGAAGTGACGAGATGGAATCTAAAACCTGCAAACACCAAGTTCTCATTAACACCGCGTAAAGGGGAATCATAAGCATTTAGGAGAATATGTGACAAGTAAGGAGAATCATAAACACAACGTATTAGCTTAACACATAGATACAGTTCACTAAAATCTAAGCTAGATTCACATGGAAGAAAGAGAGTTAGGAAATTACGATGGCTTTGGCTTCAACAAAAGCACCACTCTCAAGGAGTAGTTTTGTAGCTCGTACTTGGCATCTGCAACTGCACCTCAAAAAGTAAATCTATTAAACTCATTTTATGATTTAACAATAACAATAATTAAACTTCAAAGTACACAACATGAACATCCGAAAAAAATTTAAACATATATCTCAACAAGATTCATATATTGGAAGCCTAACCCAACAAAAAGCTTAACATTATTAAGTAAAGCTAACAAGTTCATCTCTCTCGCTTCAAGCTGTCAACAACCATAGAAGGCAAATACTCCAACTTTGCAAGAAAAAAATCAAAATCCAATCGATCTAATTAGTTCTACACAAAGAACACAATACAAACACACAAAATCGGTTCCAGATATATATATATTATGGGGACAAATTATGTTGTGTCAGTATAAGAAGCCGCTCCAAATGTATATCTCCTTCGGACGGTAAGGGCTTCAAATAGATACAATCGTTTTAACTAACCCTCAAGGGACAAATGAAACATATGCGGCTACTTCGTGGCTAATTATTTTTTGTCTATAAATCCATTTCTAGTCCGTGATAACTAATCATGGATTATTTTTGGATAACTAGTCACAACTTAGTTATATATTTCTCATTTTTTAAATGCATGGCCAAATCATGAAAAAATCCATGGCTAAATTATGGCACAAAGAAATCAGAGCCAATATTTTCTTTCATGATTTTTTAGTTATGTAGTGCAAGTGATACATATTATATGGATTGGTTTAATAGGATATGTTAGATGTATGTACACCATATAGTTTTGAAATTGATAAAACCCTAATGGTCTGTAGTTGTTTGAGCAAGTATAAAGAGTCGAAATAGTCAAAGATACTAAAGGAAGTACTAGAACAATTAAAGGTCTTGATTTCTTTCGATTTGTTATTATTGAATGCGAAGCTGCTTTACAAGTACTGGACCACATTATGATTTCGTCCAATGTGTTGTACGTGTTGCGAAAAATCTACTTATTATTTGTGTGCCAAGCACACTTGTTTCTAAGCGCATCACTCTTTAGAGAGGTTGACCTGAGCGTGAACTGATGTTGGTCATTGTTAGCGATGATCAAGCTGCACATGTCGAAAACGTTGACCAAGATGACCACGATATCTATGACCTAGTTTTGCGTTGGGTCACGCACGGCACGGGTGTAACGCCCCGACCGTCCCTAACAGTGGGCTCCACGTCCTCTTTCGGGCCCATGGGCCCACCCCTGTCCGATGGCCGGTCAGCTACGTCCGGGAGGCTTTAAAGACTTGTTTACTGACCCTACAAATCACCACATGATCTTTTCCTGTGTTTTGTCCTCACTCACACAGTTTGGACAATCACTTCCCGGAAAGGTCACCCATCCTGAAACTACTCCAGCCTAAGCACGCTTAACTATGGAGTTCTCTCAGGACAGTTGACCGAAAAGATAAGTGCACTTTGGTGACATAGGTGGCCAAATCAATTCTTTTAAACCTCTCCGTATGCACCACCATATTCCTGAAATCGGGATGTTACAACGGGTTGTGACCTGGCTTCTTCGGATATTTTCATTTGTTCGTTTTATAGTTCTAGTTTAAATTCCCGAACTATTTATTTAGTTTAAGTTCCATTGCTGAAAGAAAACTAATAAGTACAAGATTTTAAATAATGTAATCAGATAACATGGAATCATATATCCGATATTGTGTAATTTGGCACATCACAAAACTTATAATTTATGAACAAGCTAGGTCACAAGGTACATGTACAACTAATTGTTAATTAATAAATAACGAGAGAAATCATTTCCCAAAATCACATTACTTAGAAGTGACCAATGTTGCCACTAGAATCTTATATTAAAGCTCCAAAACTCTTTCTTTTCTTTTTTATTTTGTTGTGCTTGGGGAAGAATATTAGTGAAAAAGGAAAATGCTTTATATGTGTTAGTAGAAAGGAATATAAATGGACCAATGAGTTCACTTAACGTCTGATGTGTCATATTAAAATCCTACGTGTGAGGGAAAATGTAATATCTATTGTGTCAAACACACAGCAACATGAGCAATTCGCAAACTCCACAAGGCAGTCCTGACCACAGAGTGTGTTCCCCACTTGTTCTATCTTTAGCTTCCACCTATAAAAGCCTCATTAGTCTCTCTTATTATATTCACCAAACTCACATCAACACTAAAAGCTCATCAATCTTCTTGTGGCTTTCTCTTTAATAACACCTCTTCATTGCTTTCATAACCAACAAAAAAAATCAATGATGTCTTTTGTCGCAAACTTGGCCATCGAGAGTCTGGACCGTGCTTCCGCGGTGTATGTTGAAGATGTGGTGGGTAGGTCTCGAGTGGCATATGGTGAGAATGGTGGTGATGATGATGACACTGGCTACGATTATGCTCCTGCTGCGTGATTGTCTCCTAACAGTACATAATTGTAATTTAGGTGGAAAAGAAAAAGAGAGATAGTAATGTAATTTAGATATCTAACTTCTGTCGGCTGTCAAAAAAAAAAAAGATGTTTACTTGTGTCGATATTTGTCTCTTAATTTTGAGTTACTATTCACTTGTATCATCTAATTTTTCAATCGAAAAAAGTTGAATTTCAAGTTTGAACAAATTGGTTTACTCATCAAGATGTGAAAAAAATTCACAATATGAAATAAGACTAAAAGGAAGCCACACTAGTATTTTGAAACCAGAAAGGATATGGGTTTTCTTGGGACACACATTTTTTTAGTAGTACTATTATTGTATTAAGGTTGTCACTATTTGTGTTATCTTATCTCATCTGGTTCACCAATTTATAGTTCGAGCTATCCTCACCGGCACAGCTCGTACAAATATTTTAATTGGCTGGGGTTTTTGTTTGCTGTGATAAATCGGACTCGCATCCTCCACGCATAGACTCTTTTCGGATGGTTCACATACATGTTCAGGGAGGCAAACAAACTATATGTTGTCAGTATAACAAGCCACACCAAATTGACTAATCGTTCATATTAATTGCATTAGATAAATATACTGAAAAGTTGAGATAAATATTATATATGAAAATGCAGAATATACTCTAAACTCTAAACTTTAAACCATAAACCATAAACCGCAAAAAAAAGAAAATATATGCGATAGTTATGCATTATGCATATCATTTTTAGAATAGAAATATTTAGTGTGCCATCTTGCATGCACATTTTTTGTATAAAGCGCATCGTTTTAATTATATATTATACGCAATATCATATATTTTTCATCAATCCAAAACACGATAAATTGGTTTACTAGGTGCCATTTAGATTTAGCCTTTGTGTAGACGGAAGATAGGTTAAATAAGGAATCAAAGTTAAGCGCTCTAAATGACAAAATTTGCTTGAATGTTTGAAAATATATTTGACCAAAACTGATGAAGTTTTCCATTAAATTTATTTTTCACCATTTTTGCTCTTTTCTTGGCACATCTATTTTTAATTAGATTTCTATTATATACAGATCTCTTTGCGGACATGTCACTACAAAAATGAAAATCATTTCGTATCACTTACTTTAAATTTTTGTATTACTTATAACTTATACAAACTAATTTTGTATCACTTAAATAAATAACTTTAAAAGTGGTGATGCAAATAATTTACAATGTTTTAGTCATTTGATCATTCCAATATTAAATAACTAGTGTTAACACATGTATACGAATCACACTTTCACATCTTAATCACTAGTCATTTAATTATTTATTCCAATATTAAATTTTAGCAGGGAGTGACTATTTTATTGACACGTTGTAGCCAAACCAAAATTTATACCCTAAATATTTTTCGTCTTTTATGCATTACATGTAAAGCTTTATTCCATAAGATGACTAGAAAAATTAAAGGTCTTGATTTTTTTTCGTTTTATTATTTTTGAATGCGATATGCTGCTTTTCATGTACTGGACCACATCATGATTTCTTCCAATGTGTCGTAAGCAAATCCTACGTGTTGAGAGAAATCAATTTGTTATGTGTGTCAAGCACACTTGTTTCTAAGCACATCACACTCTTTAGTGAGGTTGACCTGAGGGTGCACTGAAGACAGACTGAGTTCACACTTTTGTTAACTTTTATGGCACATATAAAGATCCCAGAGATCTCTCATTCTCTCAACAAACCAAAATATTTGTTTTCTATTTGCTTAATTTAGCATTTTTTGGGGTTCATTGACCAGAGAAAAAAGAATGTCTTCTTTATCTGAGTTTGTTCTCTGCATATATGACCATGTTAGTGAATCTTGCGTTGGCGGCGACACAACTAGTTATGATCAAGAAATGAAATGCCGTCAAGCTGCATATGCCGAAAACGGTGACCAAGATGACGACGATATTTATGATTATGCTCCAGCAGCATGAGTGCATCATATGCGCAGATTTTGTATTTCTTGTGGCTTAGGCCATTAATTTGTGTCGTTTACAGTTTAACATTAATAATTGTCAATCTATTTTCGATATTTCGCATGGTTTTCCATTCGAATGTGAAGCATAAATGTGAATACAAGTTCATAATATCATTGGCACCACTCTATCTTCGCCATATATTTTAAATTTCCTTAGTGTTTGCTGGAAAAAAAAACACCCACCATATATAAAAGCCTATATAAAATCATGTCCTAGTCTCCTAAATAATTAAACCTTGTTTCTTGTTAAGTATATAGTTAAATCGGGTATTTTGTTACATGTCGGAAAGAACAGTCGTTCAACTATAAATGAGACAAAACTTCAACGAAATAATCAAGAAACCTGAACAATAGTTTTTAGTCGTAGCAGGAAAAAAAAAACCGAATATATGTGTTCAAAATATATTCCCGTCAAAACAGCAAGATTCCATGCATGAAAGAAACTTAGTACACATCCTTACTAAAGCATTGGGTTAAAAACAATTCTATTCAGTTCTTTTTGATATTATGTATGTCTCTTCAAAATCTCTAAGCTACTAGTGAGTTCTATGTCCATTTCAAATTTTCTTATAATTTTTATGTTTTTCTGATTCCGAATCTCAAAGCTATTTTAATTTTTCTTTGGTTCTATGTTGTATATTTCTCTAGGTGTAAAAATTTGGAACCTTGTTTTCTAATATAGAGATTAAAGTTCATATTTCTTTAAATTAGTTGATTCCCGTTGAAGCACACCTTAGCTTCAATATATTTTCTGAAAAAAGCTAAATTTTCCTTGTTTGGATATTTTCATATATAAACTATGAAATTAATATATTTTATAGTTTCGATATCATTAATTTATAGAGGTTTTACTATACTAATGCTCCTCCTTCAGATTTTCGATTTCAAATCCTAATAAGAAAACTATTAGAGTAAATAAATTTCTCACAAATGACATAGGATTTGTAGGTAGTCAAATAGAATATTTATAAAACACACATTAACTTTAGGCACCATTATGTCGCCACTACAAATAATATTCCCATGAGATAAAAAGGCAAAACCTTTTTTCTTCCTTTTCTGCTTCGAAAATAATATTTCATAAACAGAATTCCCCAATTATCGACGTGTCGTTACAAATCCTATGTGTCAAAAAGTTAATTGCGATTCGTTATAGAACTTGTGCCATTCTGGAATTTATATTAACATGTCACACTCCTTGCTGAGGTCAGTAGAGGACGAGAGTGAGTCTAAACTTTTCATCAACTTTTGTTCCCTCCTATAAAGAGCCAAACGATCTCTTGTTCTCTCATCAAACTTTTGTGTTTTGCATTTACTCTTACGTCACTTGATTTACAATTTCCTTTCCCCATTATTTTCTTATAAAGAACTATGATTTCTGTTACTGAATTTGTTCTCTGCATAGATGATAATGTTGGTGGTACGTGCATTGGAGGCGAGGTCGTTATCAGTGGTCAAGCATTTGTGGATCAATCTGTTTACGTAGAAGACGGTGACAACGATGATGACGATATCTATGATTATGCTCCAGCAGCATGAATGGAACATATATATATATATATATATATATATATATATATATATATGTATATGAACCATGATTTTGTAACGTTTTATATTAATGATTTTATGCCCTAGGGTTTCTTTATGTTAGCTGATTTAATAGTCTCACTATAAGTCAATAAGTCATTTAATATTTGATTCTCTCGACCTCTCTTTGTCTCAGACGTGCATATATATACGAGATCATTAATGATTTTTAATTAAAACAGTGATGATCCTACCGCTCGTTGGGATCGGTATTCCTGAAAATCATATAGAGAATTTACTAGAAAAAATATTCGCCGTGCATATAATCCATGTACATTGTGTCTTCCCAAAAAAATGTGAATGGTTGGATATTTGAGATTGGTTTAAGAAAATAAGTGAGAACTTGATTTAGTGTTTTAAATGATGGAAAACATACAAAATATGATATCAATTGGTGTAATAAGATTACTCATGTAAAGACTGAGAGTGAGCGAATCATGTGGTGAGATGAGAGTCAGTCCAGTACTAGTGGCTGATCGAGGATCGTTAATGTGAGGAGCGAGTCCTTCAAACTTGGTTGATTTCCAGAGTGATAATGTGAATGGTTCTTGATTTGGACCTATAAATCGATCATTCCTCGCCTTCCAATTCTCACAAGTTATCGGTTGTTATAATGCTCAAGGATACAGTTAATAACTTGGAAGTTGTAGGAGTTTTGATCAATTTGAAGATTACATCAAAATCTTTAGGAGCATCGAAACAAGCATGGTAGGTGAAAAGCTAAAAACTACATAACTTTGGTTTGGTTTAAAAACTAAAAAAATAAAAAGTTTTTCTCGATCCATTCAAACCATTGATTATTTGTGCATTATACTTATCAAATTTTTTTTTTATGATAGTAGGACATGATAGTGAAGGGTATAACCACTCTTCTACTATCATTTGTTCTACGCCGTTGACGCCTCAAGCCCTCAGTTTTCTCGGCCCACAGGTGAAAGGCTTCCATTCACTGGCTATAAATGAATCGATAATCACCGTTTGCCAGCATGAATCTTCCTCTTTCTGGTGTCATTTTAAGTGATTCTTCAAAATTGTTATCGCTTCATTGATTTCAAAAGCGTCGGTACTTTTATTAATGTCAATGGACCGATTGTTATTTGCTTCCATATTTAAATTTTGTGGATTCTAAATTCTTCTAACTTCCGAATGATTTTATTTTCTAAATGAAATATTTACATTTTTAGCAAGAAAAAAAAAACAGAACATTAATTGTTAGACGAGTTAACAAATATATATATATGGTAGTCATAATAATGAACTCGTTAATGTTCTCTTGAGCATTTACATATTTGCATCGAAATATATGAGAACAATCAAAGGGAGGTTGATGAGAAAACCAAGTGTTCAACGATTTCCAGTGAGAATAATCTCGACAAGTACATAAAAGGCCCTAAGTAACAAATTCATATAAGAACCAAATTTTTACTCTTTGGTCTAAAACTGAAAGTAAAGAATCCACTCATGCCGCTGGAGCGTAATCATAGATAATGTCGTCATCGTCATCGTCGTCGCCGTTTTCTATATGCAACCTGATGGTATTCAAATTCTCCATTATTGTAAGTAACATCACCTCGGATGCATGTTTCATAAACTTGGTCACATTTGCACAGAACAAACTTGTAAATAGAAAACATTGTCTTTTTTCGGTTAATGAAGAAAATAAAATAGTAAATAAAGCAAATGGGAAACAGAAAGAGGTTTAAGAGGTTGGTGAAGGAATGAGAGATCGCTGGGATATTTATATATGAAACAAAACTCACAAAATGTTAGAAATTTTTTGGACTCATTGTGTCTCGGGTCAACCTCAGTAAAGTGTGTGATATGCTTAGAAACAAGTGTGCTGGGCACAAATAGAAGACTGCTTTTATTCGAACACATAGAATTTGCTTCCGAGTTCCGACACATGTAAAGCTAGCAGCACTGAACTATTTATTTATAATAAAACAAATAACCTTTGTTTATGGAAGAAACCAATTGGTAGAAAAATATCATTTCTTAAAAGTATAGCTTAATTTATCAAAACATGTAAGCATCTCCACATTGGGAAAATCTCCCAAAAAATTGTGAAAAAATATTAAAAATCCAAATTTAAATTATGAACGATTTTCATTCCATCTAATAACGTTTTTAGCATCACTCTCTGAATAGTTAACCCAAATATTCTATAAGATATTTATAAAGATTTTTGGAGAGTTTATAAAAATCTATGATAAATTAATAAATATTTGATATAGTTAATTTTAATATGAAAAATATTTCAGAGACTTTCTTACAGATTTAAAGTTCAATTCTATTTTGTTTCCTCAGTTAATATATAGAAAATGGAAACAAAAAAAATTCTTAAGGGCTTGACTGGTTTAAACACAGCGGTTGCAGTTGTGGGAGTTTGCGGAAGCGGGCGGTTGCGGTTTCAAGCGTTATTTAGCGTTTTGACCGACTGGTTTAGCGGTTGAAAACGGGTGCGTTTGCGGAAGATTTACGACTGGTTGATCAGCGGGTACGATAGCGGTTAAAGCAAAGTTTACCAAAATAAATTTAATATATGATTACAGAAAATTATAAAACACCAAAAATTATAATTATGAAAAGTATAAAATTTTAAAACATGATTAATTAATGATTAAAAACCATAAATAATTATTCAAATAAATTTTTATATTAAAAACAAAAATAATTATTAATATTAGAAAATTAAAGTTAGATAATTATTATTTTTTTAGAATTAACGTGAATATAAATAAGACATGATAATATATATTTTAATTTATTTATTTTTCTTTTGTAGTTTTTTTCCTTTTTTAAACCAACCGCAACCGCGCGCAACCGCAAACGCTTGCGGGAAGGAGCTTTTGAAATCCAGCGATTTCGAGCGGTTCGAAGCGGTGTGGAGCGGTTTTTGTGATTGGTACCAACCGCTAACAACCGCAACCGACCGCTAACAACCGCTAGGCGGGTGCTAGCGGGAGAACCAATCAACCCCTAAGACACAAAACTTTTGTACGTAGTAATATCTATAAAACAGAGACAAACTACGTTTTACACCATTATGTTGCCACTACAAATAATATTCTCATGATCGATAAAACTAAAAAGCTTTAACTTTCCTTCTTTTAACTTTTAAAGTAGCCAAATAAGAAGTGTAGCCAATATGTGTGGTCGGACGTGTCAGAATAAATCCTATGTGTCAAAGAGTTTATTGAGATTCGTAATTTATATTGTGTCCTTTCACAATTTTAGCCAGCATGTCACACTCCTTGCTGAGGTCAGTAGAAGACGGAAACGAGTCCAAACATACATCAACAATTTTGTTTCACCTATAAAGAGTCCAACGATCTCTTGTTCCTTCATCAAACTCAAATCAATCTTTTGTGTTTTGCATTTTCTCTTCAACGCTTGTCCTTTTTATCATTTCCTTTCCAAAGAAAAGAAAAATGATTTCTGTCTCCGAAATTGTTCTCTGCATACATGAGAATGTCTATGGAACATGCATTGGAGTTAACGTCGCTAACAATGCTAAAGTATTTGAGTATGCTCAAGCTACATTTGTAGAGAACGGTGACAACGATGATGACGTTATCTATGATTATGCTCCAGCAGCATGAGTGGATCATATATTTATTAGGCTAAACTATGATTTTGTACCTCTTATATTATTTGTTTAATGGCCTTAGGGCGTCTTTTATGTTTGTCTGTTTAACACTTTCACTATAAAATTCGTCGAACATTTTACTATCTCAACCTCACTTGATTTCACATTATATATTTCAGTGACATATATCAACGAAAATAATGTGTTATTACATATATAACCGAATAACCGTTCGGTTATGGCTTGCCGAACCGAACCTTTCGATAACCGAAATCCTTAAATATATTTGCCAATCGGTTCATTCTTCCTTTTAGATTCGGCGCCGATAACAGAAAAACTCGGTTCTTTCGGTTTGGTTTTTTTGGTTATCGCCGAATGCCCAGGCCTAGTTGACGTAGTTTCATAAGATGGATGATTCAAGTTTTATATACTAAGATTTACTTCCAATTAGCTTGGGCCTTTGGCAGATAAAGATTGTAACAGCAATATGGTATGTTTTGAGTTAACAACACCAAATTACTAAAAGAAATGGCCCATTCAATGTTATGGGATGGTCATTATAAATTTAATAATGTGGAAAGCAATAAAATTAAAGTTTGGGATAAAAGTAACGGCCAAAAAGGAGTTGGGTTCTTGGCGTAATTATTACTTTGTGGGAGCATGTGAATGAAATAATGGTGGTCATAGATTTAGAGCTTTATAAAAATAAGATATCTATGATGTCAAAAGGAAAAAAAAAAAGAGATATATACAGAATCCAAAGACATTGAAGAAGAAAGCCATTGACAAACATACACTAAGCTTCTTGGCGATGTAATGTAATAATTACTGAAGAAATATAGATTACAAACAAAGATCTTGAAGGTATGTTTCTTTTAGTTATTGAATATAACAACAAAGGTTGATTTCTTTGTTTTACGCGTATTTCATTGGTCGGTAAGAAAAATAACAAAATGTAAAACAAAAAATAAGATCTATATTATCTTTGCGTGTCATGATAACGTTAGTTTGGTGCCATGTCTTTTAGTTTCTCTATCACTATCATGTATTATGCTTCAAGTCAGATATGAATTTTTTTCAACATAATCAACTTGGGATTATTTTGAGATGAATTCGTAAAGTTGTTTTCTATTTACTAAACCATGTTTTGTCTTAATCTCTGGCAGCCTAATTAGGATGATTTTGTACTTTCGAATCTAATCTTGGTCAATGGTCGTAATATTTCTGTAATTGTTCATCAGATAATAAACAGTAAAAAGGTATGAAAACGAAAGTGGTGTTGCGTGCATTGAGAAGAACCTAAGTGATGTTAGATAAACTGTCATTGTGCAGCTCAATTTTGTCTATAAAACCTAAACTCAGAAATCATGTAGAGATTTCAACTCCTATATCACTCATTTGTATTCTTTTAAACATCATTGAGCTTAGTGATAAGTTTTGCAGCTGACGATGGTATTCTGCGGTGACGACGTGGCCACAGGGGTGAGAGATGCTATCACTTATTGTTACAGATGCAAAGGCAGAAAAGTTACAATTTCCGATCAAGAAGACGATGATGATAACAAGCCTATCGGGGATTTTGTCTACGACCATGAAGTAACTAGAAAACTCATTCCTTTGCCTTTGTGTTTCATTTTTGTTTTCCTCTACGACCATGAATCCTTTGTTGTTACTTGTTCAACAAAACGAGTTACAAGAACTTTCGTTTTGTGACTGTTGGTTTCAGGTTGTTTTCGAGATCAGAAGTCAGGCAATGGAGAAACTAAGGAAGAAGCGGAGGACAGGAATGGAGGGGCTAACTTACAAATTCGTCAAACAATATGACATCGAAAAGGAAGAGGGTAACGAATTCTGTTCGGTAAGAAGCAGTTTTTCGGAATGTTGCATGAGTGATATGAGCATAGAAGGATATATGACGGCGAAAACTGAGTTCTCGAGAAATTCAAGCTTGAAAGGTTTAGAGCTGGAGAATCAATGGAAGATGCATTACGTGAATGAAATTAGGAAAGGATCAGTGATTCAAGAGTTCTGTCATTGCCAAGGATGGCCATTTGGTTTGGGACGAAAAGCTGCGTTGCTTCCACCGCTTCCAAAGTCACCTGCAGAGTCATGGTCATGGAGGAAGCCTACAAGAGTTACTCCAATTCCATTTGTTTGACAAAAGTAGCTCAAAATGTTGAATCATTAGAAACAAAAGATCTCTCATGTAAGGAAACAGTAACAAATGAAAACAAAGGCCTGTTAAACTTGTTGAAGCTGTGAGTTTATTTTTCAACTGGTGTTAAGCTCTAAATTTGAAAGCTTCGTTTGGAGGAAACAATGAACAAACTCACCTAATAATGTCTTTTGGTCAGATTGACCTTTATTATGTGTTAAGACACAATAACGCAATAACAACATAACAAGTTTTGCTCGTATTTAAGATCTTCTCTTTCCGTTTTATGCCCTCTGCTCCACGTAAGATCCCGAGAGTCCTGAGGTTCCAAGAACAGTAACCTACAGAAGAATTTAAACAATGTGTTAGAACGACAAGTTACAAGTAGTAGTTTGTTCTTAATGAAAACATTGGTGTCTGCCAATGTCTATATGACTTAACTCGGATAGCCTAAAAGAAGCATGAGAAAGATGGAAAAGATCACATATAGTACGAGTAAGACTGTGGAGGACAAGTTAAAATCGTCGATAGTTCTGCAAACTCATACTTTTAATCAGGCTTATTCTAGATCGCATATAGAAAAAGTGAGAATGCAGAAGACAAGTTGAAATTGTCGATAACTACGCAACTCATACTTGAATCAGACTGTTCTAGCTTATAGCTTATATGTTGCTGTCATAGATGCACATTGCGACTTATATAACCAGATTACGTGTTTTGAGAGTATAGGTTCTTAGAATCAAAGTGAAAGATCTGATTTGATTACCTTTCCCCATTCAGAACCAAGCCCGCTGCATCTCATCTTCAAGTGGATCATCTTTGTCCCCAACTCCATCTCAACCTTCTTCTTCAAGTAAACTTCTTCAGGTTCAAAGGAATCTAGGTAGTCAGCATACCTCTGATAAGCAGTACGCAGCGCATCAGTTATATCATTTGGTAAAGGCTTCACACCCTGCACACAAATACAGCTAAACATCAAACAACCAGAAATGGAAAAATAAACGCCAAACCAAGAAAATGGTTTAAGTGAGGCAAACAACAAACCTCCCCACTCATTCCAATGCTATCATCGATTTCCATCTTAATCGAAGTAAGAATCCCACCAAATTCCTCTACAGCTTCAGCTGCTCGGAACACGTTTTTCAAAGCCTCTTGCCCCGCCTTATCATCTGTGTTTTTCGATATCGCGCTCTTAGCATTGCGAACAACAGCAGAAGGAAGCTCAGCCCAATCTGCAGCCATCAAGTCTTTGAATGCATTCAGAACATCAGAGTCCTTCATTTCAGGCATGTGAGACACATCTTCGCTAAATCGCCGCACCTGTCCAACGCCAATTGCACGAGAATACTGCAAATCTGCAATCACGTCAAATACAATAAGCAACGCACGAGTAGAATCAAACTCGTTTGGTTAGAGAGAAATCAAAGCCTCACCTCGACGAACACATCCATACCAAATGGACGAGCCTTTCCCGATCGTAACAGAAGCATTCGGAGCCACCAATGGAGATTTATCAACCACAGTCATCAACGTCCGATGCCTCGACACTAAACCAACAACAAATTTCTCCAATCAAATGAATTTTTTCCGGTGAAGACACAAATTAGAGATATAGAATTGGATCTAGGGTTGAAGAGAGCGAAGCAAGGAGAAGGATCTGGAAGCTTACGATGTTCCTCGATGTGGTGGCTTCCTTGAAGAAGAGAACCAACGCGATCAAGAGATTGGGCAGTTCCACGAATCCGGTTACCGAGAGTGTGAATCGCTCGTCCTAGGGTTCCCATTTTTGTGATTCTCCGATTACAAATAGATTTTGGTGATTGAGTTCGTTGGTTGATTTTGTTGTTGACATCTAAAGCTCTCTGAACATTCCGAATTTCCGATGATGGTGACAATATTTGGGCTTTGGTCCATAAACTTTAGACCCACTAAAGCCCATTTTAAAATTACTTTTTTAAAATATTTCCCAATTTTATTAAATATATTTCCAAAATTTATAGATGCCCAGATATATCAGGGACAATCCTAACCCGATCTGTCCTAGAACAAATATTGGGACATAAAATTTTAGGCCACGTTTTGCGGACTAGCATATGGATTGCGTTTTAGGCGGATTTTGTCGCGAGTTGGTAGGTCAGTTAACGAAGAGAACCACTAATTTTAACTATAAATTATGTATAGAAATATATATTTTCGACTATAGAGTATAATCTAAAAACATATGTGATAATGTGAAAAGTTTTGTTGAATTAAAAACAAAAAAATTATAAAAGATAATAATATTAAATGTTATTTTATTTTTAAAAATTGTTAATTTTAGAATTAAAAATATAAAAATCTACAAACCGGTCTTCTAATCGTATGACCTCAATTTTTATATTTGTATATGATGAAGGATTCATGAGATCGAAATGAAAAATCAGTGAACGCATAAAAAAAAATGTCATTGAGAAATTTTTTTTTCATTGAAAAGTAAAAATAAACAAAAAAATATTATCTTCAAAGAACTCTATTTCGTATCTAAAACTATTGGAAAAGATCACCTGCAAACATATGGGTACATTTCCCATTTCGGGCAAAGTTTAGAGCTGGAAGAGCTTGTCCGTTGGAGGGCTGGTAGTTATTGTGAAGGAAGCGTACAACACGACATTTGAGTTTGTGGAAAAGTCGTCGCCGGAGTGAAAAAATCCTAAGGTGATGTTGAAGTCGCTGCTGGAGTGACAAATCCCTAGAACAAGTGTCAAAACCTATCAAAAATCCTAGCTCGTCATCGAGAAAAGAAATCAAAGGCATATTGTTGAGTTTCATTGTACGTCTGTTAAGCCAATAGTAGTTAATTTATTAATTAATATTTAGAAGAAATGGGCAATATAATATACTAAATTATTTATGATTAAAAAATAAAAGCAAAACTTTAAATTTTATACAAATTTAATATTCTTAATACTCGAACCAGTTCTATAAATATATCAAATCACAAAAACAAGTTTTATGTTATCAATAAAGAAAGAATTCCTAAGTTGTAGTTGTAGGGCTCAATCTCAATCCCCACATTTTTCTTTTCAAGTTAATTAGTTATGTTTCTTTTTGTATTTGAGTGGCAAGATAGTGAAGTAGATCTTAAATTTGTAAAGGATATGTGAATTTCGTTTGATAAGAGAATATTTGTTTATTTAAGGTTAAGTATTTTCTATCAAAATACTATTTGTGAAAATAGTTTGCACAATAAATACTCAAATATTGATTTTAAGCAAGTTAATAAAGAGTATTGATTAAATGATACTCCCTCTGTTCTTTTAGATGATGTTTTAAGCTTTTATTTTTATTTTTAAATAGATGATGTTTTCAGTTTTCAATGCAATATTAATTACTCCTTCCGTTTTTTTATAAGTGATGTTTTAAACTTCTAATTCTGTTCTTAAATAGATGATATTTTAAATTTTCAATGCAAAATTAATTACTTTTTTATTGGTTTTGACGGTTTAAATTCTGTAGATTGTTTTTTTTATTGGTTGATTAGATAATAAATGATGTTTTAGTTTAAAAATAAACAAAAATAAAATGATTTCTTAATCTGTGTGCATTCTCTGGAAATATCACTTATAAAATAATGGAGGGAGTAGTTTTTTTTGTTTTGACGATTTATAGTATGCAGATTATTTTTATATTGGTTGATTAGATAATAAATGATGTTTTAGTTTATAAATAAACAAAAATTAAATAATTTCTTAATTTTTGTGCTTTTTCTAAAAACATCAAATAAAAAAGAACGGAAGGGTATATATTTTGGTAGAATCATAGACATACAGTTTTTATTTCATTGATGCATTTCACTTGATGGATTCTTTTATTAGTAATATAGCGACACATATTTCTCAGATGTTCTACACCAGCTGAGAAGTCGATGATTCAATATATTGTTAGCAAAGTCTTTCAATGCACATCATTAACACTCACTCTTGCTGCAAAACAACCAAATAACCGGATTGTTTACATAACAGAGTTAAAAGTGATTAAGCACAATACCACAAGTGTCTTAGTTCTCATTGCCTATGATGGGCATTATAGACATCCATTGGCTCAGTTCAAAATGATGGGGACGACTTCCCCACTATTATGATTCACCATCCACTCCAGTAACCTAATAAGGATCTATATAACTTACCGGACTAAGACAACTGATCTCTCATTGATGCAACAATAACAGTGAATTCATCATGGTGGTTGTGGAGGTGGACGTGAAAAAAAAAGTTAAAAAAATAACGTTTATGTGGGGAAAAAGTAACGTTTATGTGTATGAGAAAAAGAATGACACACAAAAAGGCATCCTCTATTTACAACTTCTCATGATTATGTATCTAGGTATCTCTAATTAGACCATCTTTTATCATTCTAAGAAAATAATCATTATATCTAAATGAATTACTAAATGGTATCTAAGACGAGATTACAAATTACCAAGATAAGAGTATTGTATGTAGTGGCATCAGGAATAGGTCTATCACTCTATTTTATTGTAAGTCTGTAAACATATAATTTGCTTTCATTAGTGATCCTCATATCCGATTATAGACTAAAACTCATGAAACTAGTGCTTGAAGGCATTACAAAACATAATTAAGGACATGAATTCTAAAAGTTTTGTTGTGGTACAGTGGTGCCCTAAAGGTACCAAATTCAATCCTTTTAACTATACAGTAAAACCTCTATAAATTAATACTCGATAAATTAATAAACACGATAAATTAATAAATTTGGCTGGTCTCGAGTCGGACCAATGTAAAAATTAATCAAATTCGATAAGATAATAAGATAATAAGTTTTTTTAAATCCCTATGTAAAAATATAGTCCCAATAATATCATAAATTAATAATTATGTAAATTTACATATATATATATATAATAGCTTTAGTGTTTTTCGTAAAAATAGCCAAAAGTTTTTGTAAGTTTTCAAATTTTGAATATGCAAATTTTGTTTTAATAGTCGTATAGGTTTTTAAAATACAACAATGGATGTCACTATTTGTAAATTTTAATTTTTGTATATCGTTTGTATATGTGAATTCTATAATCGTTGTTATTTATTGTCAAATAAATTATTTTCTCTTCGAAATATTAAGTGTTTAAGGCTAAAATTTTAAAATTTATAACATCCGAGACATTAATTTTATTTAGATCATATTGCTTTAGCTCGTATTTTTGAAAAAAAGTTTTCACAATTGAAACAAAATTTTTTATAAATTAATAAATATTAATTTACGCTATTAATTTATAGATAAATCTATAAATTAATATCATTATAAATTAATAAAATATTATGGTCCCAACATTATTAATTTATAGAGGTTTTACTATACTATTCTTTGGATTTCTTTTTACACTTTTGATTTTTAATAGGCTACAACTTAACAATTAAACCTGAATATTATATAGTTTTCGGTTGGTTGGTGGCATCATTAAATTTTAGTTAGAAAGATCACTCGAGTCACCTAATCAAAACATATTAAAATGAGTTTTTCAATTACAACAACCTATCATTATTTCGATGCCAGCACAAAGAATCTTCTTTTAAACAAAAAGTCCTATATTGGCTCTCTCTCCTGACTTTTATTTTCTACCAAAACATAAACATCAAAGCTTGACTCTCTTTTTCTCCCATGGAGTCGACGAAGAAGCAAGTCTCGTTGGAGTTACTTCCATGGTTAGTTGTTCACACCGATGGAACAATAGAGAGACTAGCTGGAACCGAAGTTTGTCCTCCTGGTTTAGATCAAGAAACCGGGGTTTTCTCTAAAGATATCATCATCGAACCGAAAACCGGTTTATCTGCCCGAATCTATCGACCCTTCTCGATTCAACCCGATCAGAAACTTCCTCTCGTGCTCTATTTTCATGGCGGTGCATTTCTCATCTCCTCCGCTTCCTTTCCTTGTTACCACACCAGTCTTAACAAATTTGTCAATCAGGCTAACGTCATCGCTGTGTCTGTCAATTACAGGTAATCAATCCGGTTTAAGTTGACTTATTTAACCCAATTTTTATATGGTCGGATTGGTTTAATGTTGAATGCAAGACATATTTTTATTTTTTTTGTTATCCGAAATTAATTAAAACTTAAAAGAGTCATTCCTAGGAAATGTTGTTTACATAAGTGATATAAAACGGTTCTGTACAGATTGAATTAACCCGGTTCAGATTGAATTAAAAACTCAGAACTAGCCATTTTTTTTTTGTTTTTCGGTCTAGTTCAATTCAAATATTTTGAGTTTAATTGAAACAAAACCTAATTTTATTTAGATTATTTCAGCTCGGTTTGAACTTTTTTGATTCGATTTGGATTTAAGTTTGTTTTTTTTAAAAAATATAATATAAATAATTAATTTAATTATATATTTAATAAATTTATATTTATTTAACTTTTGAAACATTTTGGTTAATATAGTTTGATTATCAAAAGTTGGATTTGGTTTGAATCATTCTTTATCAAAATTTATATACCATTCAGATTATAGTGAAATTCGGTTTGAGTTATTTTGGTTTGGTTCGGTCTTTGTGCCCACTATAAAAATAATTAGAATATAGTCTAATATTATATTTTTGATCAATTATTGGATATAGACTAGCACCAGAACATCCACTTCCTACCGCGTACGAAGACTCATGGACCGCGCTAAAGACTATCCAAGCCATAAACGAGCCGTGGATCAACGACTACGCCGACTTGGACCGTTTATACCTAGTGGGAGATAGCGCGGGAGCTAATATCTCGCACCACCTCGCATTCCGAGCCAAACAATCAGACCAAACCGTGAAAATCAAAG